AACACCTCTAGTGTTGACTCGCTAGAACGACGTCACAGCAAGAGTAAGGGAAAAAAGAGAAGATAAAAGGTCCGGATGCTTTACAGTATTCATTAGATACTATCTATCTATCTATCCCTTTCTCTCTCTTTCTCTCTCTCTCTTTCTTTCTCTCTCTGTTTATCTATCTATCTATCTGTGTCTTTCTCTCTCTTTCTCTCTCTCTCTCTTTCTTTCTCTCTCTCTCTATCTATATATTTATCTATCTATCTATCTATCTATCTATCTATCTATCTATCTATCTATCTATCTATCTAGCTAGCTAGCTATCTATCTATTTATCTATCTATCTATCTATCTATCATCTATCTATCTATCTATCTATCTATCTATCTATCTATCTATCTATCTATCTATCTATCTATCTATCTATAATCACCCTCCGTCCATCCCGCCAACAGAACTCCCACCAATCGCCCCCTCCCTCCCCCACCCCATCCACCCATCCAGGAAAACTATTAACACCTCTAGTGTTGACTCGCTAGAACGACGTCACAGCAAAGAGTAAGGGAAAAAAGAGAAGATGAAAGGTCCGGATGTTTTACAGTATTCATGATTAAGCTGTCTTCTCTATCGATCGGGTGATGTGAACTCCCCGAGGGGGTTACAATTACCAATCGACCGGCGTGGCTCAAAAAGATTTGAAATAGCTTCTAGATAAAGTAGAGTAGAGGCTTATGCTCTTTACTCCTTGGCGTGGTTTTTTGTGGTTTACTCGCGGAGGAGTAAGCGTGGGTGGATGGCGGGTGTTCTGGTGTGGTTTGATTCTTCTTTCCTATCAAACATCTATCGTCTTTATCTTTCCTCCTTCTATTTTGTGTTTGTTACTCTCTTGTAACACCTCTAATCTTCGGCACTCATATGACCTTATTATGCTGCAAGTGCCGTAAAACTCTTACTAAAATAATTTTAGAAAATTTTAAAGGAGGAGTAAGTTTTTCTCTTCTCGAAACAACGAGTGCTCGTCTTGGACAAGTCCAAAATACCATAGACTTGCTCTAACAGCCACCTGTATAAGACAATCACGTGTACAAACAGCCACCTGTATAAGACAATCACTTGTACAAACGGCCACCTGTATAAGACAATCACTTGTACAAACGGCCACCTGTATAAGACAATCACCTGTACAAACGGCCACCTGTATAAGACAATCACCTGTACAAACGGACACTTCCCATTTCCTTCCTTTTATGTACGTATTTTTGTTTTCACATTATGGCGACACTGTATATGACGTGTACCTGTTTCAGACAACCACTCGATCTATCTATGTGTCTATCCCCCTCTCCCTATCTATTTATCTGTTTATCTATCTATCTATCTATCTATCTATCTATCTATCTATCTATCTATCTATCTATCGATCTACCCCTCTCTCTATCTATCTATCTATCTATCTATCTAT